CCTGCCTCAGCCTCCTGAGTAGCTGGGATTACAGGCACGTGCCACCATGCCCAGCTAATGTTTTGTATTTTGAGTAGAGATGGGGTTTCACCATGTTGACCAGGATGGTCTCGATCTCTTGACCTCGTGATCCACCCGCCTCGGCCTCCCAAAGTGCCGGGATTAAAGGTTTGAGCCACTGCGCCCGGCGTGCCTGGCTAATTTTTAAATTTTTTTATAGAGACAAGATTTTGGCATGTTACCCATGCTTGATCTGAATTCCTGGGCTCAAGAGATCCTCCTGCCTCAGCCTCTGGAATAGCGAGGGCTATAGATGTGTGTCACTGTGCCTGACTTTTTTGAATACAGGTTTTATATCAAACACTTCATTGAATTTTGTGAATTGCTACGCCCTCAAGTTTTGTGTGCTTGAGTCCTGCTTTAAAGGTTAACCATAAAAAGTTTGAGAAATAGTGCCTAAAGGGATAGGCAGTTAAAATGTGAAAGAAATTATATGAGTTTTGCCGGGGGCGGTGGCTCACGCCTATAATCCCAGCACTTTGGGAGGCCGAGGCGGGTGAATCACCTAAGGTCGGGAGTTCAAGCCCAGCCTGACCAACATGGAGAAACCCCGCCTCTACTAAAAATACAAAATTAGTCAAGCTTGGTGGTGCATGCCTGTAATCCCAACTCGGCATGGCTGAGGCAGGAGAGGCTGAGGCAGGAGAATCACTTGAATCTAGGAGGTGGAGGTTGTGGTGAGCCAGGATTGTGCCACTGCACTCCAGGGTGGGCAACAAGAGTGAAACTCTGTCTCAAAAAAAAAAAGAAATTATGAGTCTTAATACTCTTGGGGAATAACTCTCCTCTTTTCGGTATTCATTCATGTTTTAGGTTTTGATGTGGCCAAGACAGGTGATGCTCGAATTGGATTTGTTGGCTTTCCATCTGTGGGGAAGTCAACACTGCTTAGTAACCTGGCAGGGGTGTATTCTGAGGTAGCAGCCTATGAATTCACTACTCTGACCACCGTGCCTGGTGTCATCAGATACAAAGGTGCCAAGATCCAGGTGAGTCAAGTCTGCAGACTAAGGAAGGAAAGAAATCTATTTGTCATTTAGGAAGAACTTTATTGGGAGCTCACTGTATGCCAGGCCTGATCTTTGATCTACTAGGCACTTACTGCCTAGTAGGGGAAATACAGCACTACAAAAATAGAGTAATGCAATGGGATAGTGCATGTGAAAATGCGGAGAAAGGGCTGGGCATAATGGCTCACACCTGTAATCCCAGCACTTTGGGAGGCCGAGGAGAGCAGTTCACCTTAGGTTGGGAGTTTGAGACGAGCCTGACTAACATGGAGAAACCCCGTCTCTACTAGAAATACAAAATTAGCCTGGTATGGTAGTGCATGCCTCTAATCCCTGCTACTTGGGAGGCTGAGGCAGGAGAATTGCCTGAACCCAGGAGGCGGCGGTTGCAGTGAGCCGAGATAGCACCGTCGCACTCTAGCCTGGGCAATGAAAGCGAAACTCCATCTCAAAAAAAAATGTAGAGAAATAACTGACTACTTTTATCTGAGGGCGGAGGAGGGGGCTTACTCTTGTGAAACAAAGAAGGCTTCAGGTAGAAAGTGACATTGGAGGTGGGTCTTGAAGTTAGATTCCTCCATGTAGAGAAGGATGAAAAAAGGGCATTTCAGGCAGCAGTAATGTTGAACAACCTGCTGTGGTACAAGATTAGGTGTGGGACAAGAGTAGTGAACGCTGAATTATGAAAGGGCCTGTGTACCTGCTGAGGAAGTTGAATTTTATCTTGTATGTGGCTAGGAACCTCAGAAACTTTAAAATAAGTAAATAACATGATCAGACCCTTTTAGAAGTTAATTCTTGTCTGGAAGGCTGAATGAAACTGGTCTTCTGAGATGTTCTTAGATGACAGTACCCCAAATGAGGGGTACCCATGGGTATGAAAGAAGATGTGCAAAAACCAAAATGGAACATATTGTTGGCTGCACAGCTAAGAATGTAAGGTTCTGAACTCTGACATTTGAATCTGTATTCAGTGTTCCCTAACTCTTGGGAACTGTAATTCATGCATGCCTCAGTAGTTTTTTACGTTGCCTCTGATCCTAAGAAACTACCTAATGGTTGCAACAACCCTGCATGACCAGCACATGTACCCTAGAACCTAAAGTAAAATGAAATTGACATAAAAAAAAAAAAAAAAAAAAGAAACTACCTAATGGTTCCGTTTGTTAAACACTTATCCAAACAGCAAGTATTTATGTCCTTATAGCCAATTATTTACTAATGGGATGTATGTACCTGTTGAGTACCACATAACTCCTCAAACAATGGAATCAGATTGGATACTGTCACATTTGTTTCCTTTTCCAGATGGATTTTTAAAAGTAAAGTGTGGTAATTTCTACCGTAGCAACTACTGAAAAATCCAACTTCCCAAAGATTTGGATCTGATGTAATGGAAAGCAGTGTAGTGGAATGTAGTGTTGAAATTGTGAGCACTGTAACTAGTAGTTCCCTTGGCGCCTAATAGAAATTAAGAATTGCTGTGTTAATTGTTGAAATGGCACAATTCTAAATTGTTGAAAATTTAGAATAGTCAATGGCACCTGTAAGTTCACTTGTGATGCCCCAAAGTGCCCATAGTTTGGGAACCATTGATGTAGGCATTTGTTTTTCTTCTTGCTGAGCTACACAGTAAGTTGTGAGGGGCATTCATGCTGCTTTTATTATAGAGTTTGAACTAGAAAGAGACCTCTGTCCTGGTTGTACTTTCTTGTATTTTAAGACAGGGTCTCACTCAGTGACTGAGGCTGGAGTGCAGTGGTGTGATTTCGGCTCACTGCAACCTCCACCTCCAGGTTCAAGCGATTGTCCTGCCTCAGCCTCCTGAGTAGCTGGGACTACAGATACCCACCACTGCACCCAGATACTTTTTATATTTTTAGTAGAGACAGGGTTTCACCTTGTTGACCAGGCTGGTCTCGAATTGTTGACCTTAGGTAATCCTCCCTCCTCATCCTCTCAAAGTGCTGGGATTACAGGTGTAAGCCACCGCACCTGGCCCTGGTTGTATTTTCAGTGGCCTTTTTTCCAGCTGGTCAGGTGCCCATGCAGAGACACATGTCCCTTTCTGGGATCCCATGTCCAAATGTATATAGCAAGAATGAAGAAGTGTGGACATATCTGGACCTTGGCTTGATTCTAGCTGATTTCAGAGTTTTGTTAACAAGTTACAGCTTTGATAGCTGAAGAGAATAACTTGCTTTTTTGGTAGGATGCTATTGACACCTCTCTCAAGGCTTTTGAGTATGTCAGAATAGAGAGTTGCTTAACTCCTGTCCTCTTTCCCAGAAAACCTTCATTCATTTCAGTCTCTCCTGACCTAGAGTCCCCATCTTTTCTTTTTGCATCGTGCTCTCTTTCCTCCCTTTGTCCTCTGCCTCTGTTTTTTGTCCTCTTTTGAGTTTCTCCAGAAACCAAGTTATGTAAGCATACTAGTAGGTGTTCTTAATCTTTATGTGTTTTTTTTTTTTCTTTTCAGTCGGAGTCTCCCTCTGTTGCCCAGGCTGGAGTGCAGTGATGCCATCTCGGCTCACTGCAGCTCCATCTCCCGGGTTCCAGCGATTCTCCTACTTCAGCCTCCCAAGTAGCTGGCATCACAGGCACATACCCCCATGCCTGGCTAATTTTTGTAGAGACAAGGTGGTTTCACCCATATTGGTCAGGTTGGTCTTAAACTCCTGACCTCGTGATCTGCCCTCCTTGGCCTCCCAAAGTGCTGGGATTACAGGCATGAGCCGCTGTGCCGGGCCTGATGTCCTTAATCTTAACTGGATTAAATTAACTACCCAGGAATGTGTTTTTTTTTTTTTTGAGACGGAGTTTTTCGCTCTTGTTACCCAGGCTGGAGTGCAATGGCGCAATCTCGGCTCACTGCAACCTCCGCCTCCTGGGTTCAGGCAATTCTCCTGCCTCAGCCTCCTGAGTAGCTGGGATTACAGGCACGCGCCACCATGCCCAGCTAATTTTTTGTAGTTTTTAGTAGAGACGGGGTTTCACCATGTTGACCAGGATGGTCTCGATCTCTTGACCTCGTGATCCACCCGCCTCGGCCTCCCAAAGTGCTGGGATTACAGGCGTGAGCCACCGCGCCCGGCTTTTTCAGAAATGTGTTTTTAAAAGCTGTTTCATGGGACAGGATTCGTTATCTGACTTGGTGGGGGAAGTATACAGAATTAGAACCACTTAAAGGGAGTTTTTGTTTTTTTTTTTTTTTTGTAAGGAAGGCCTTTAACAGTAAAGGTGCCTAAAACTGGGTGGTACCTTTTAATGAATTACTGTCTGAAGAAGTTCAAGAAGTGGGTGAACTACCACACTTACCAGGGATGTTATAAAGAAGATCACTGTATCACATAGGCAGATATTGGCCTGCAGAGTGGATATACAGTGCTTTGAAAATTATGGGGCTTAGGTTTTACCTTGCCAGAGTCCCTAGAACTCCTTTTGCAATATACACAGTTGATTTGCTTATTTAAGTTGCCTGCTTTAACTTCTAAAGGCATTTGAGTTTCAAGTAGTTTAACATTCAATTTCTTAAAATTCTGTAATTCCATGATAACATATATATTTTTTGAGACAGAGTCTTGCTCTGTTTCCCAGGCTGAAGTGCAGTGGCACCATCTTGGCCCACTGCAACCTCTGCCTCCTGAGTTCACGAGCTTCTCCTGCGTCAGCCTCCTGAGCAGCTGGAATTACAGGCGCATGTCACAACGGCCCAGCTGATTTTTTGTATTTTTAGTAGAGTCAGAGTTTCACCATGTTGGCCAGGCTGGTTTTGAACTCCTGACCTCAAGTAATCTGCCTGCCGCAGTCTCCCAAAGTGCTTGGTGAGCCACTGTGCCCGGCCCCATTGTTCAAATGAATATTTTTTTTTTAGGTTTTTGTTGGTTGTAACATGAAATTCAGATATATAAAGCAATGACCATTTTTATTGAATGTTGCTTATTATTAAGCATTGACTATTTTATTGAATGTATAATTATTAGTTGCTACATTTAAATTCTTGAACCTGACTTTTAAAATATTTCCCTCTGAAGAGAAGCTAAATTTAGGTTGCCTTTACTTTTATAGGGGCCTTAATGTTCTGCTTGTGTTCAGCTGCCATAGTTAGAAAGCCCTTGCTCTTTTTCTCTCAGTTAATATATTTTCTTTCAGATGATGTTTTATTTGATGTTATAATCATATTCCAGTTATAACAGTTTTAGATTATTCATATAGATTTTCCTTTTGAGTTCTTGTTAACATCAATTAGGCTCATGCTGTTGGGCGTGTGTGAGTGTGTAAGTGTGTAAAAGACGGAGTCTCACTCTGTCGCCCAGGCTAGCGTGGAATGGCACGACTTCGGCTTACGGCAACCTCTGCCTCTTGGGTTCAGGTGATTCTCCTGCCTCAGCCTCCTGAGTGGCTAGGATTACGAGCACGTACCACCATACCCGGCTAATTTTTTGTATTTTTAGTAAAGATGGGGATTTCACTGTGTTAGCTAGGATGGTCTTGATAGCCAGGATGGTCTCAATCTCCTGACTTTGTGATCTGCCTGCCTCAGCCTCCCAAAATGCTTGGATTACAGGTGTGAGCCACCATGCCTGGCTCTTTTTTCTTTTTTGAGTAGGTTCTTTTTTTCTTTTTTTTTTTTTTCTGAGACAGAGTTTCGCTCTTGTTACCCAGGCTGGAGTGCAATGGCACGATCGCGGCTCACCGCAACCTCCGCCTCCTGGGTTCAGGCAATTCTCCTGCCTCAGCCTCCTGAGTAGCTGGAATTACAGGCACGCGCCACCATGCCCAGCTAATTTTTTGTATTTTTAGTAGAGACGGGGTTTCACCATGTTGACCAGGATGGTCTCGATCTCTTGACTTCGTGATCCACCCGCCTCAGCCTCCCAAAGTGCTGGGATTAGGCATGAGCCACTGCGTCCAGCCTTGAGTAGATGCTTGAATGGAGAAGTTGATCTGTCTAGCAACTCCTAAATCAGTTTTCATTGTGGTTTATTTAATGCAAAGTATATTTCTGTAAAACAGTGTATTCCGGGCTGGAGTGAAGTGGCACAATCTTGGCTCACTGCAACCTCCGCCTCTGGGGTTCAAGTGATTCTCATGCTTCAGCCTCCTGAGCAGCTGGGATTACAGGCATGTGCCACCACATCTGGCTAATTTTTGTATTTTTTTTTTTTCTAGAGACTGGGTTTCACCATGGTGGCCAGGATGGTCTCAGACTCCTGAGCTAAAATGATCTGCCTGTTTTGGCCTCTGGGAAAGTACTGTGGGATTATAGGTGTGAGTTACTGCGCCCAGCCTGAGCAGTCATTTTTTACTGGGGACACACATCAGAGTCACTTTTGAAGCCTTTGAAGTAGACATCCATATCTGAACCCTTCAAATCATTTTTAGGGGTGGGTTTCAGCTTTCTATATATATATATATATATATATATATATATTGCACTCCATTTTTTTTTGAGATGAGCTTTGCTCTTGGTTGCCTAGGCTGGAGTGCAATGGCATGATCTCAACTCACTGCAACCTCTGCCTCCTGGGTTCAAGCTATTCTCCCTCAGCCTCCCGAGTAACTGGGATTACAGGCATGCGCCACCATGCCTGGCTAATTTTGTGTTTTTAGTAGAGACAGGGTTTTTCCATGTTGGTCAGGCTGGTCTCGAACTCCCGACCTCAAGTGATCCACCCACTTCAGCCTCCCAAAGTGCTGGTATTACTAGTGTGAGCCACCGCACCTGGCCAGCTGTCTACATTTTTAAAAGTTTTTTCAGGTGATTTTTCTGCTGTGCTTGCCTGGTTAAGAATGGCTACAGAAATTTTTGTGAGTTGGGAATTTACAGAAGTCTCCGTATATATCATATGTAAATATCACGATTTAGCTGATACTTGCTGTAAGGAATTTATGTGGAGTCTCAACCTTCTGAGAGGTGGTGGAACACTGAAAAATTTTAAGGGAGAATAATGGATTTTCACTAAAGAAACATGCGTTATAATCTATTAGGACTGTGACTTTGGGCAAGTTACTTACCCTCTGTGAACTTCAGCTAGTATCCTTATCTCACAGGGTTGTTAGGCATTTTCAACTAGGTAAAGCACATAAAAAGCCTATAGGCCAGGAGTGGTAGCTCACACCTGTAATCCCAGCAATTTGGGAGGCTGAAGCAGGCAGATTACCCGAGGTTAGGAGTTTGAGACCAGCCTGACCAACATGGTGAAACCCCATCTCTACTAAAAATAACAAAAAGGACCAGGCACAGTGGCTCACGCCTATAATCCCAGCACTTTGGGAGGCCAAGGCAGGCAGATCACAAGGTCAGGAGATCGAGACCATCCTGGCTAACACAGTGAAACCTCATCTCTACTAAAAATACAAAAAAAAGAAAAATTAGCTGGACGTGGTGGCACGTGCTTGTAGTCTCAGCTCCTTGGGAGATGGCACCACTGCACTGCAGCCTGGGCGATAGAGTGAGACTCTGTCTCAGGAAAAAAAAAAAAAAAAAAAAAGTTAGGTGTGTGGTGGTGCCTATAATCCCAGCTACTTGGGAGGCTGAGGCAGGAGAATCTCTTGAACCAGAGAAGTGGAGGTTGCAGTGAGCCAAGATCATGCCATTGCTCTCCAGCCTGCACAAAAAGCAATAAAATTTTAATCTCAAAAGAAAAAAAGAAAAAGGCTTTTTTTTTTTTTTTTTTTTTTTGAGACAGAGTTTCACTCATGTTACCCAGGCTGGAGTGCAATGGCGCGATCTTGGCTCACTGCAACCTCCGCCTCCTTGGGTTCAGGCAATTCTGCCTCAGCCTCCTGAGTAGCTGGGATTACAGGCACGCACCACCATGCCCAGCTAATTTTTTGTATTTTTAGTAGAGACGGGGTTTCACCACGTTGACCAGGATGGTCTCGATCTCTTGACCTCGTGATCCACCCACCTCGGCCTCCCAAAGTGCTGGGATTACAGGCTTGAGCCACCGCGCCCGGCCCAGAAAAAGCCTTTAGATAATATTTAGTAGATACTTAGTAAAAGTAATATTTACACACTCACTTATAAGGGAAATTGGATTTGGGTCTGATAAATTATAGGTACTTGAAAAATAAATTATTCTGATAAATTAATAATTTAAATAATTATTAATAAATCTAATAAATTATTCTATATTTTTAAATTTGTAACTAGTTTTTTCTTTCATCCTCTTCCTTCATCCTTAATCTTGCAGCTCCTGGATCTCCCAGGTATCATTGAAGGTGCCAAGGATGGGAAAGGTAGAGGTCGTCAAGTCATTGCAGGTGAGTGGTCGAGTACCACTATCCTGGGATATCATCCCCTTCTCTGGTACTATTCCTTTATTCAGAGACTACTAGGCTTAAAGATTATACCACAGTGAAGGGCATAGTTTCACCTGACTTCTCATTAGAGGTGAAACTTGAAGGGACCTCCGTTGCAGCCGTGGCAGTGTTCTGAATCTGTGCTGTCCAACTTTGTAGCTCCTAGGCATGTATGGGTATAGAGCTCTTGCAATGTGCCTAGTACAATTAAGGAGCTAGTGGATAGAGTCTGTATTGGACAATGCAGCTGTAGACATTTTACATGGCTGTCATCCTGAGATTTTCTGCTCTTTTCTTGTGTGGGATCTTCCATTTCCTAGAGGCAGTGTGTACTTTTTTGGGATGTTTTGCTGGCATACATTCTTTAATAACTTCCCCAGAGAAGATGAATGATAAAGGTAAATTTTTCTGTCTTTTCATGGCTTTTTTTGGGAGGGAAGGAGGACAGAGTGTCACTCTGTCACCCAGACTGGAGTGCAGTAGTGCCATCTTGGCTTACTGCAGCCTCTTGTCTCCTGAGTTCAAGCGATCTTCCCACCTCAGCCTCCTAGGTAGCAGAGACTACAGATGTGCACCACTGTCTGATTTTCTTTTTGTATTTTTTTTGGTAGAGACGGGGTTCCATCCTGTTGCCCAAACTCCTGAGCTCAAGTGATCTACCTGCCTTGGACTCCTAGAGTACTGTCTTTTCTTGTTTGAAGGTTATTTTTATTTTACCCTTGTACTGGAGTCATTAATTTGGCTGTTTATAGAATTATAAATTAGAAGTCATTTTCCCTCAGAAATTTGAAAAACACTGTCTTCTAACATCTGCTATTGCTGTTGAGTCAAGTAGTTAGAATGTTTTTTGGCTTTTGATAACTTTTTTCCCATACTGAAAGATGTTAAAAGCTGCTTACTTCAGCAAGCTATTTCTTGGTTTGGGCTTTTTCTTTTTCTCTCTTTTCTTGAATTCATTTTGCTGGATATTTTGTGGACCCTTTTTTTTTTTTTCCTTTCTCTTTTTTTGAAACAGGGTCTCACTCCCATCACCGAGACTGGAATGTGGTGGTGGGATCTTGGTTCACTGCAGCCTCGACTGCTGGGCTCAGGTGATCCACCTCAGCCTCCAGTCCAGGTGGGACTTCAGGTTTGTGGCACCCTTCTTTTCTTTTTTTTTTTTTTTTGTTTTTAGCAGAGACAAGGTTTTGCCATGTTGCCCAGGCTGCTTTTTTAAAAATTCTCTTTCCCTTTCCTGGTGTGGTGGATTCTTTCAGCATGACAACTCATATCTTTCATTTATGGGAAAATTTCCTGTTTTCTTTGGTAATTTCTTCTATTTTCTTATTTATGCAAGGTTTGCTAATAGAATGCTGGACTTCTGGGTTTATAATTTTCGTAATTTTCTTTTTTTATAAAGACAGGGTCTCACTTTGTCACCCAGGCTGGAGTGTAGCAGCCTGACTGTACGTAGCTCACTGTAACCTGGACTCAGGCAATCTTCCCGTGTCAGCTTCCTGAGTAGCTAGGACTACAGACACACAACACCATGCTGGGCTAATTTTAAAAATTTTTTGTAGGGGTGTTGCTCTGTTGCTTAGGCTGATCTTCAACTCCTAGGCTCAAGTCATCCTTCTGCCTTGACCTTGCAGAATGTTGGGATCACAAGTGTGAGCCGTTGTGCTTGGCCCTTTTTATGTTTTAAATTGTCTTTCGTCTCTTAATTTTTTCTGTATGTGATTTTCTGGGCATTGTCTTTTAATCCTGCTATTGAGTGTATTTCTGCTCTAGTATTATTTTTAATTTCTAAGACTTTGTTTCTCTCTTCTGATTTTCCTTTATTAGCATCTTGTTCTTGTTTAATGGATGCATTATTTTCTCTTAGACTCTTTTCTATTCTGTTTTTTTTTTTTTTGTTTTTTTTTTTTTGAGATGAAGTGCCACTCTTGCCCAGGCTGGAGTGCAACGGCTGGATCTCAGCACACTGCAAACTCTGCCTTCTGGGTTCAAGTGATTTCCTGCCTCAGCTTCCTGAGTAGCTGGGATTACAGGTGCCTGCCACCACGCCCAGCTAATTTTTGTGTTTTTAGTAGAGACTGGGTTTCACCATGTTGGCTAGGCTGGTCTCAAACTCCTGACTTCAGATGATTCACCCACCTTGGCCTCCCAAAGTACTGAGATTACAGGAGTGAGCCATTGCACCCTCCTGGCTCTTAATCTATTCTTACAAGGACACATATGACTTCCCCGCTGTCAAACCTAAGGGCCAATTTATTATCCACATCTTTCTAATGAGAGTAACATACTAGATCTTTCCCTCCTTGAAGTATTTACTTTGCTTGGTCTCTGACACCAGTGCCTCTTACTGGTCTCCTTTGCTTGATTTGTCCCATCGTCAAGATCTCTAAATGTGGATTGCCCCAATGCCTATTCTTGGAGTTTCTTTTCTTCTCTGTCTCTGCTCTGTCTATGCCAAATGAGGGTTATTTCATCTAGTTCTTTGGCTTTAAATGTCTGGATCTATATTCTGATGACTGTGAATTGTGTGGCAGTATTTTGCCCTCTGATGAACTACAGACGAGCTGCCAACATATCTTTACTTGGATGTCTAATTAGGTGTCTCAAACTTAGCACGTATAAGATTAAATTCTTGTTTCAGCCAAGGTGGGAGGAACACTTGAGCTCAGGAGTTTGAGACCAGCCTGGGCAACATTAGTGATACCTCATCTCTATTAAAAAATGAAAGTAAATTTAAGTCTTAGTCTTTTCTATATCAGTAAAGGCAAATTTATCCTTCAGATCTTTTAGGTCAAATCTTTATTTTCCTTTCATCCCCCACATCCACTTCATTATTATATCCAGTTGGTTTTACCTTTGAAATATATCTAGAGGCCAGCCACTTTTTTTTCTCCCCTTTTTCGTCCTTAACTGAAAAATACTGAGTTATGTGACTGACATGCTGGCTACTATGCTGAGGAAACTCTACCAAAAGGTTTAGTTAATCATACTCCTCAGTTCCTGGCACATTTTCGTTTTTTTTTTTTTTTTTTTAGAGACAGGGTCTTGCTTTCTTGCCCAGGCTGGAGTACGGTGTCACAGTCACAGCTCACAGCAGTCTCAATCTCCTGGGATCAGGTGATCCTTACTCCTCAGCCTTCTGAGTAGCTAGGACTACAGGCATGTACATCTTGCCTGGCTAATTTTTTGCTTTTTGTAGAGACAGTCTCCCTATGTTGTTCAGGGTGATCTTGAAAACCCCGGGCTCCAGAGATCCTCTCTCCTCAGCTTGAGTAGCTGGGACTATAGGCGTGTACCACCATGGAAGGCTAATTGATTTTTACTGTTTTAGAGGTAGAATCTTGATATGTTGCCCAGGCAGTAATTGTTATCTTTCTCATTATTTTTCAAGAATTTCTCTTAAGTTCTATGTCTAATATGATACCTACTAGCTACATGTGACTAAAATTAAATTACAGTGGAATAAAATTTAAAATTTAGTTCCTCAGTTACATAAGCCACATTTTGTATGCTTATTAGCTACAGGTGAGTAGTAGCTACTGTATTGGACAGTACAGATGCAGAATATTTTCATTATTACAGAAACTTTGGATAACACTGCTCCCGATATTAATTCCTTGTCAGCTTTGGACATTACAAGTATCTTCTCCAATTAATTTTGTCCAAGGTGATATTTGTTGAATAAAAATCCTTAATTTTGGTAGAATCTAGTTTACTCTTTATTTGTAGCTGGGACCACAGGTGTGCACCACCATGCCTGGCTAATTTTTTGTATTTTCAGTAGAAACGGGGTTTCGCCCTGTTGTCCAGGCTGGTCTCGAACTCCTGACCTGAAGTGATCTGCCTGCCTTTGCCTCCCAAAGTGCTGGGATTACAGGTGTGAGCACCTAGCCTACTCTTTATTTTTTCTTATGGTTTGTGCTTCTGAAGTTTTATTTAAGAAGTCCTTATCTTGGTCAGTTGCTATGGCTCACGCCTGTAATCCAAGAGCTTTGAGAGGCCAAGTGACAGAGTGAGACTCCATCTCAAAAAAATAAAATAAAATAATTTCCAGTTACCTTGGTCACTTTCTCCTATTTTTTTTTTTGAGATGGAGTTTCACTCTTGTTACCCAGGCTGGAGTGCAATGGTGTGATCTTGGCTCACCTCAACCTCTGCCTCCCAGGCTCAAGTGATCCTCCTGCCTCAGCCTCCTGAGTAGTTGGGATTACAGGCATATACCACCAAGCTCGACCAATTTTTGTATTTTTAGTAGAGACTAGGGGTTTCTCTGTTGGTCAGGTTGGTCTTGAACTCTTGACCTCAGGTGATATTCCCGCCTTGGCCTCCCAAAGTGTTGGGATTACAGGCGTGAGCCACCAGGCCCTGCTGGTCAGTTTCTTTACCCAGTGTTATTTTATTTTTCATGGCCCTTATGTCCACTTGGCCCATAGTCATTTGTAAATTTTTTTTTTTTTTTTTGTAAATTTATTTTTATCGTCTCCTGTTATAGGAATATAAAGTTTGTGTGAAGGGAAAGTTTTCTGTTTTGTTCACAGTTGAATCCTCAATAAATATTTGTTGAATGGATAAAGAAACCCCTCGGAGTTAGATGGTCATGGTGTCATGTGCCTGTGGTCCTAGCTACTCAGGAGGCTTGGGGCAGGAGTATTGCTTGAGCCCAGAAGGTAGAGGTCATAGTGAGCTATGATTGTGCCACTCTAGCCTGGATGATGGAGTGAGAGCTTGCTTAAAAAAAAAAAAAAAAAAAAAAAAAAAAAAAAATCTTTCTAATAAGAAAATTAAAAAAAAAAAAAGTTCTGAGGCTATCAGTGGTAGTTTTTTTTTTTTTTTGAGATGGAATCTTGCTCTGCCACCCAGACTGGAGTACAGTGGCACAATCTTGGCTCACTGCAACCTCTGCCTCCTGGGTTTAAGCAGTTCTCCTGCCTTAGCCTTCCAAGTAGCTGGGAATACAGGTATGC